TGAAACGAGGACAGGGTTTTTTTGTTTTTTAAGACTGTGCAGAGCCGTTACCACACTGAGGGAGTCTGTATAAATTACTGCTTTTTGTATTTGTGATTGTTTGATGTGTTTAGCTGCAACAAGTATCGCGTAAGCTTCCGCTGTGAAGATACTTGTGCCTGGATGTAGAGGGCCAGCATCCGAAAAGGAAGGGCCAACAGCAGCGTAGGACACAGAGGAGTTAGACTTAGAGGCATCTGTAAAAAACTCAGGACGTGTGTATTTGTGTTGAAGTTCCAGGAAATATGTTCGGATATGGGCAATGGGCGCATGTTTTGTAACTTCTAGAAAAGACGCATCGCAGTCTATAGTCTGCCACTGCCACGGTGGCGGGTATGCTACAGGAGCCATTAAACTGTGTTCGAGTGACACTCCAGTGTCCTCAGCTAGACCCTTCAGGCGAACTGAGAAGGGCTGCCTCATTGAAGGCCTGTTTTGAAAAAGAATGGAGCTCGACAAATCATTAATAGTAGAGTATGAGGGGTGCCTCTTGTCTGCTTTCACCTTAAGGGAATAAACAAAGGACATGTAAGTTCTCTGCAGATGAAGCGACCACTCATTTGACTCAACGTGAAGGCTTTCTACGGGGCTGGTGCGAAAAGCACCCGTAGAAAGGCGGATGCCCGAATGGTGCACGGGATCCAGCATCTTCAAAGCACTTTGAGTCGCAGACTGATAAACAATGGCCCCATAATCTAAGCGGGTGCGAATAAGGCTTCTATACAGGTTCATGAGGCATTTCCTGTCACTACCCTACGTAGTACGTGACAACACTTTTATAACATTCATGGCTTTTAAACATTTTGTTTTTAAATACTTTATGTGGGGTACGAAGGTCAACTTGTTGTCCAAGATTAAGCCTAAGAATTTATGCTCGGCTTTGACGGACAGTTGTTGCCCGTTCAGTTGAATGTCGGGTTCCGAGTGCATGCCTCTCTTTCGAGAGAACAAGACACACGTGCTTTTTTGTGGGTTAAGTCGAAATCCGTTTTCATCTGCCCATTTGGAGACCTTATTTAAACCCAGCTGAACCTGCCGCTCACACATGGCCAAGTTGCATGACTTGAAGCCAAGCTGAACGTCGTCAACATATGTACAATAGAACATATTGCGGGGAATGGACAAGTGCAAAGAATTCATTTTAATAATAAAAAGTGTGCAACTAAGCACACCACCTTGTGGCACGCCTGTTTCCTGGACAAATGTTTGGGAGAGCACACTGCCCAGACGGACACGAAATGTCCGGTTTGACAGGTAACTTTCGATTATATGAAACATTCTTCCGCGCACACCAAGGTGGGACAGGTCTCTTAGAATTCCGAAACGCCATGTTGTATCATAAGCCTTTTCGATATCGAGGAACACAGAGAGAAAATATTGTTTATGGACGAACGCGTCTCTGATCTGTGCCTCGATACGAACAAGGTGGATCTACTTTCTCGAAAACCGCACTGAAATGGGTCGAGCAAATTATTTGTTTCAAGAAAATGTACAAGTCGGCAGTTTATCATTTTTTCGAAGATTTTGCACAAGCAGCTTGTAAGTGCTATAGGCCTATAACTCAAGGGTAAAGAAGGGTCCTTGCCCTCTTTCAAAATGGGAATAACAATAGCCTCTTTCCAGGAGGTAGGAATAGTGCCAGAAGACCAAATAGCATTGTACAAACAAAGTAAGGTTTTTCGGGTTTCGTTTGGTAGGTTTTTAACATTTAATACATCACACGGTCAGAACCTGGGGCAGAAGTACTGCAGGAGTTTAGAGATGTTTGGAGCTCAGCTAGATTGAAAGCTTGGTTATATGCCTCGTATCTAGTGGATTTGTGTTCGAGTTTCTGCTTTTCTATTCTTGTTCTGTATTTTTCGAAAGTGTCAGTATAGTGGGACGAGCTGGATACCTGTTCGAAGTGTGCACCGAGGAAGTTTGCCTGATCTTCCAAGGTATCACCCTGAGTGTTTACGAGTGGAAGTGTATGTACTTGTTTTCCTGCTATCCTACCGACCATGTTCCAGACTTTAGCCTCCTGTGTGTATGAATTAACCCCTGATAAAAACTTCTGCCAGCTTTCTCTTCTGGCTTGCCGACGCGTTCTCCTGCCTTGAGACTTTATTTTCTTGAAGGTTTCAAGATTTTCGGCTGTCGGTGAGTTCCGAAGCAGCCTCCAAGCTCTGTTTTGCTGTTTGCGCGCGTTTCGGCATTCAGAGTTCCACCATGGCACACATCGTTTTCCAGGGTGTCCATTTGTTTGTGGGATGCATTTTGTTGTAGCATCAATCAAAAACGCTGTGAAGTAGTTCACAGCAACATCAATGTTCAAAGTACAGATGTCATTCCAACCTAGACAAGCGATAGTATGAAACTGTTCCCAGTCGGCTCTGTTTATGAGCCACTTGGGAACACGTGGTGGACACTCAGTTACTGTCGTTGTGCTCAGAACTACGGGGAAGTGGTCACTTCCGTACAGATTACTGACGACTTTCCACTGGAGTAGAGGGACAAGAGATGGAGATACTATGCTCAGGTCTATGGAGGAGTAGGTGTTATTAGCGAAGTTATAATAGGTTGGTTCTTTTCGATTTAGGAGACACGCGCTCGACGAGATAAGGAACTGTTCGATCAGTCGACCTCGCGCGTCATACCGAGAGTCACCCCATAGCCTGCTATGCGCATTAAAGTCTCCAAGGAGAACATAAGGCTCCGGAAGTTCATCAATTAGAGAGTGTAAATCGCGTTTTTGCAGCTGATAGCTAGGAGGAATGTAAATAGTGCAGATTGTGATCAGTTTATCAAAAAGAACCGCTCGAACAGCCACTGCCTCAAGGGGTGTTTGGAGTTGTAAGTGTGTGCATGCTATTCCTTGATTCACCATGATGGCAACACCTCCGGATGATGTCATAGCATCAACACGGTCTTTTCGGAAAATAACGTATTAACGAAGAAAATTTGCGTGTTTAAAATTAAGGTGTGTTTCTTGTACACATAGTAGCACTTTTGGCGAGTGTTCATGTAAGAGTTCTTGGATGTCGTCAAGGTTTCTGAGAAGGCCCCTGACGTTCCATTGTATAATTTGAGTGTTCATGGTGAATGTGAAATAGTGCTGTGTGTACGAAAAGCGAGTGGCTGTTTAGACGGGGAGTTTGAGTTCACTTAACAGGGCCATCACCAGGCCCTGTTATTTGCTTTTTTGTTTTCTTGGCGCGCTCCAAGGAGCCACGCCGCTCTTTCGGCACCAAGGGTGCCGACGTATCCATTGCCTCCTCGGAGGCACTGGATGCCCGCACATGCGGGCTGTTAGTTCGGATTTTGGGACTCGCCTGGTGAGGGGAGGCCTTGAGACCCGAAGACTCTGGAGTCTCTGGTCTCTGTTTGGGAGTAGGCGGTGTAGCCTGGGCTACAGCCGCCTTGGGGGCAGGTGCCACAACCGCCGGCTCGGTATGCGCGGGCAGGAGGGGTGGCGAGGGCTGGTGCGGCGGTGCCCCCTGACGCGCCGCATCAGCGTATGTAGGTCCACAGAATGGAGCGACTCTTCGCCGTGCTTCCTTAAATGTAATGTTCTCCTTCACCTTCAACGTAATTATTTCTTTTTCTTTTTTCCAGTATGTGCAGGAGCGTGAATATGCGGCATGGTTTCCTTCGCAGTTTACACAGTGTGGCGGTTGTTTGCAGTTCTCAGACACGTGGCCTAGGACTCCACATTGTGCACAAGTCTGGCGACCACGACAGGTTTTAGAGCCATGGCCATACCTCTGGCATTGGAAGCAACGACGAGGGTTTGGTATGTACGGCCTGATAGATGTCTTTGTGTACCCTGTTTGAATTGATTCCGGTAGTTTACTGGATGCAAATGTAAGTATTAAGTGTTTTGTCGGTGTTTCCTTATTATCTCTTCTGATGATGATTCTCTGTACATTAGTGACATTTTGGCTCTTCCACCCCTCCAAAAGTTCAGTCTCAGTCAAGTCAAGTAAGTCCATGTCAGATACCACTCCGCGAGTTGTGTTCATTGATCTATGTGGTGTTACGGTTATTGGTATGCCACCGAAATCTGAGAGACTGTCTAGCTTTTTAAATTGTTCTTTGTCACGGATTTCGAGGAGAAGGTCTCCACTAGCCATTTTGGTTACCTTGTATCCTGTGCCAAGAGTTTCGGTAAGACATCTAGGAACTAGGAAAGGAGAGACGGTCCTGGCTTGCTTTTCAGTTTTTTCACAGTGAATGACGTGGAAATGGGGAAAAGTTTCTGTTGGCTGGTTGAAGAGATTTATGTCGTCGGTGCGTACCCGCTTTAGGCCGGTATGATCAGATAGTAGAGGGAATGCGCCATGCATGCGGGTCTTATTTTTGTTCAGCAGCGTTGGCAGCCACCCACCACGGAGCCCAACAAGGGGACGCTGCAAGTTTACAGGTGCTGAAAGCTTGCAGACGTCAGCTGTACAACACTGCCATAACCCAATGCGCCTAGACCAAGGTAGGCTATTTGCACAGGGTTAACCCTTGCCGCCAGGAAAATTGGAAGTAAACAGAAGAGAGTAGAAGACAGGACAGATAGATAGTGAGAGATAAAGACGAAGATGTAGGCAGAGAGAGATAGGAAAAGGCGACTGCCGATTTCCCCTGGGCTGTGCCATCTATGTGAAGCCGGGGCCAAAGGGGGTGTGTTGCCTCTGTCAGGGGGCCTTAAAGGTCCAATCACCCAGCGTCGGCTCAACCCCCAGGATCCCCTTTTCCCCGGACACGGCAAAGCCACGCACGGCTAGGCGTGGGAGGGAGTAGAAACTCCCCCGTTAGCTCGGGTCCGTGGTGTCGCTACACACCAAACGCCTACTTGCGCAGGCGCCCCTGCGGGGACGGGCGTGCTAGAGCTGACTTACTAGTGGAAAGTGAATTTTTTACCTCCAAACAAAAGGTTGGCTGCAATTGAAAAGTCGGTAAAATTCACTACAATTGATGTGGAAACTCCATACCACGTCCTCTGAGTGTGCCTGTAATGCTGATGGAAGATTGCCTTCACGGAGTTCATTTAGCTCTGTGATGCGTTCGTGGCCAGTGGAGAATGGGCACAGCAGTTCAGTTAGCACCAAGCCCAAGCTGTATATGTCCACCTAAAAAGCAAAGCAAGGTGTTCAACATGCTGTTGATTCTAAACATATCAGCACAAAAACACCAACCTGCTATGCATAAAACACACAGCAAAAACCTACGTGCAATATAAAATTGAAGAGTGCCAAGACTGACAGGTTGGGTCGATGTACTTAATGTTTGACAGTGAATTAAACAGACGGTTATGTCACTCTAATTATAAATGTGTCCTTATTAGGTTCTGTGATTTTTTTTTTCTAACTGTTCAGCAAATATGTCTTCCAATGATTTTTCAAATAGCAATGGTATGCACAGAGTGTTGCAAAAACAGAAGTGCCAGGTACACACAACTAGTCCAGTTAAACTTCTGTCCAACATTAGCTCAAATGAAAGGAGATAGCCCTTGAAGTGGATTCAGTCTAAGGCCTGCTTCAAGTAAGCATCACATTCCTAAACATGCTCTGTGTGTTGTTTGTTACTCCTTGCATATATCGATTTCTAAACTTGAGCTGTAAGCATACATTATTTGACGGTGTCATCCACAACAAAAATCTTAAGGATGTTTAAATAAGTTTCAGGTTTTAGGAAGGAAAACCATGACATGATAATGAGGCATACTCAGTGAGCAATCACAGACTGATGTTTAATAGTAATATCTGGTGTTTTAAGTCCCAAAACCACGATATAATTATGAGGGATGTCACAGTGAAGGCTCCAGAAATTTCGACCATTTGGTGTTCTCTAATGTGCACCGAAACTGCATAGTACACAGGTCTGTAACATATACCCAAGCCAAGTAAACTAGCACTTCTAAATTTCCGCATATAAAAATGTGGCCACTGTGGTCGGGAACAGAATAGAGTACAAGCACTAGCAGCTCTCAACACAGCATACGAAACAGCAGCGATAACAATATGGTGGAAACTGGCCAGTAACGTGTCTGGCATTCGCAGTCACCTGATAGTATTTGCTAACAGGTAGGCAGGCTATGCCATGGGATGCTCGAGTAATCTCCGAAATCAAAACTGCTACTGGTAACATATGAGCATACAACTTAAGATCCACCACTCCTTCATAGCTGTGTCACCATCTCATCCGATGGCACCTCTGCACAACTACTAAGACAACGTCTACCTATAAATGTTTGGTTTCATTTAAACCATCACATGAAGTAACAAGTAGCACCCGGGGCTGTGAAAATGGTCCCACTGTAAACTATGTCTGCCGTATAGGCATACCAATAGTCATTTTACATCCCAATCCTACAGCAAACTAAATAAAATTTTTTTTTGTCAATTATTCAGACAAAAGCTTGGTGGTTGAGCAACAGTGGCGTAACATATTTGAAATCTACGCCAATAGCTTTTATTGTGATAGCAATTATATGGACACTCTTGGTTGGATTTCGGTGTCGGCGTCGATGTCATGCACCATGTATGTATCTATATATATGAAAACGCAAGAAAAAAAAATTTCTGAAAAAAAGACTGCAACGCACGGAATCGAATGTGGGACCTCCGCACCGTGAATGCGAGGCGTTAACCACTGAGCCACTGTGGGGTACCTCCTTGGACATTTAAACGGCAAGCTATTTATATCTATCACTTAGTGCACTTGGCAGGCATTTTGTGGGGGAATTATCGTGTTTTCGATTGATTTGTGGGGTTTAACGTCCCAAAACCACAATATGATTATGAGAGACGCCGTAGTGGAGGGCTCCGGAAATTTTGACCACCTGGGGTTCTTTAACGTGCACCCAAATCTGAGCACACGGGCCTACAACATTTCCGCCTCCATCGGAAATGCAGCCGCCGCAGCCGGGATAAAATTATCGTGTTTTCAGCATTATCAGCAAGATGGCGCAGTGAGCGCACGGCGGCTCATCTCTCCCGCGTACTTTGACCCGCATAGAGAATAAGCGGGTGTACGCTCGATCGTGCGCCCTTATTTTGCAGTGGGGAGGATCATATGTCTTGGCTAGACTTGGGGTTTCGCTGGAGCGATTCTGTTGTAGTTACCAAGTGCACAAAGGTCACTCTAATCGTTGCACAGCCTTCGTTTGCAAAAAGGGTGTGCTTTTCAGGCACAGCGAAGTAACGACCGAGATGCTTATTTGCGTTCATCTGTACCTGTGAATACGTTTCGTGTGTCATTTGTGCGTGAGAAATGCAGGGCAGGTTTCGATCTGCTTGCCATTCTGCGCGTGACCTTCCAATTTGTTGCTATCGGGTTCATTGCTCGGCCTTTGCGGCAAAGCTGCGACTTTTTCCATATTTCTTTGAACCAAACTCCAGGGTCTGCTTAGATTCGAGAATTTCGAAAAATCCTCTATTTTTTACTGAGAAAAGTGGCACAGAAGTAGTGCCACCTAGACGGTATTCCAGCCGTTAGTAGCAGAGCCAACATCTGGCACAAGTACACACATGAGGCTGCCATTTTGATCTGTGCGGCAAGTGTTGAGGCAAGCCAGTGGCATGTTGCGAGCTTCCCGTCCGGGCCTTTAGGCGTCTCCCCCGTCGAACTGACGACAGCGCACCGCCAGAAGTGGCAATCAAAACGCCATCTAAGCCTTTTTTCCGACAGTTTTATTTATAGGACTTGAGAGTAGTACGCATATAAAACCGTTTCTCATTTAATTTTAAGCATTTAGAAGCATGAATAGCACAAACCAGTAGAAGATTGGAAAGTGACTTACTTTAGGTGGCAGTGCGAACCAGCAGAAAACAAACAGTCCTGCCGCACTGCTTGTGAAAGGCACGAAGATAGTATGTTGATATCAATTACAGAAAGCTTGCCGGATACTGTCAACGAACTGTTGTGATGTCTTGAGTTACAGAAGGACAGGGACATTTGCGTTATACCTTTGCTTACACCAGCGAAGGTTTCGTGCAGTTGGATGTATTATCAGCCAGCGCTGGACAGCTGTGCTTCTGGCATCTGCGTTGCAGCTATGCATAGTACCTACCTTGTTTGCACATGAACGCTGATGCATGCATGTTGTTCACTGGTGTACGTGCTAAAACGTTACTTACGTGGCCTTTATTTCGTGTAAGTATCGAATGACTTCGTTGTCATTTCGCCTGGCCTGTATGCGGCATCACTAATTAACTAAAGTAAGCATGCAAGATACCTGTGGGCTTCTAGTAAGTAGTTTACTACAATTTACTATAAGGAAACGAGAGAAACAGAGGGAGGGGGGGGGGGGGGGCTGCTGCTGCAATGAGCGGGGGACAGCCATGAGACAGAAGCAGATGGCGACGGTGTCGTCCACTATGCGGAATGCCAGCCACCATATCGAAACGCCCTTGTGCTTTTCAACCCTATTTCATTTTATAAGCGGCTGTAAGTTATACAAACAATATTCTTAGTTAGTATTTGTTCGAAAAAGCTATTTGAGTGAAAAAGATAATAAAAAATTCTTCTGTTACAAGTAAAATAGTAATTTTCCAACCTTTTTTACAACTTCCACTAGAATTCAGACGGTGCTATCATTGCATCCAATTTTTGTCCCCATTGGCTCTACAGGCATGTCACTCCCTTGGTTGAGGCGAGCCGTTTGTCATTTCGAGTCGTGCTTCGGGTGGTCTGCGCGTGGCATAGCTCAATGGCCTCAAACAGGTGGTGTAATTATAGTGCCGCTTATAAAAGGGGCTGCAGCGCGGGACAACATCCCAGGAACTTTGATTGTGCGTCCTTTTAGTAAGTGAGGCATATCCAATGCGCTTTATGGTGCCGAGGATAGCGCACTGTTTGAAGACAGCGACAAAGAAGTCAGTAACGAGCGAAGCAGCGATGACTTAGAATGAGTGTGGCATCGGCAAGCACAACACGAAAAAGCCGACGACACGTGCACACACTACAAGACTAGCGGCTGTATGTTTCTCAAGTTATTTGCATCATGAACCAACTCTGTTGTTTCATCTTTATGTTCAATAAATGTCCCCTTGTGAACGCTGTTTTCAATGTTTCATTCAGTATACATTTGAGGTAAGTTTTTTTTCCCCCCTAGGCTTGGGACTTTTGGGGGTTGGCTTAGAATCGCGGTTGACCTAGATTCGAGTAAATACAGTATGTGTAGGTTGTAAATTAGTGCAACGCACATATGCAAGAACCAATGACTTGATACCATGTGACACCGAATAAAGTACACATATAATGAAAAAAGACCTACCTTGCTGTCATAAGAGGCCTGTTGACGCTGTTCCGGGGCAGCATACAGGCTGGTACCTTCAACTTGCGTGTGACCTGACTGAGATGCCCATGGAAATTGGCGAGTAGAAGACTCCTGTTGATTAGTGCGAGTGGCAAGGCCAAAGTCTCCGAGCTTCACCAATGAACCTTCCAAACCAAACATGATATTCTGCGGCTGCCAAATCAACAAAACAACAATGTCAATTCTTGCAGCAAGTCAAAGGCACTAATATAAAAGGGCTAAATAATGCCGAAGTGTAAAAGAGCAACTCTAAAGAATTTATATATACAGGGACAAGAGCTCCAGACCACAAGACGAACATAATTGGGAACCAGGCAGACTTTTGCATTCTCTCCTAGTGCCCCATCACACACCACACCTTAACTGAAATCATGAGTCGCAAGAATGCCATCCCAAAAAGCTCATGGCGCAATTTCAAGTGAGGGCTTGTGCATGGATGTGTGTACAAATTCAAACACTGGGCCTGTAGGCACAGACACAAATGGGATGACTAATTAAAAAATCTTGTAAGCCAAGAGTAAGTTACTTAACATGGCACAGGCCAACACGGAAAAATGTGTAGGCATGAATGTACATAGGCACGAATAGGCTAGCTGTAAGCACAAAAGCTTAGCTTGCCCTGTTGGCAGTGCTCACACATCACAACATATCCTTCAATGGCAGGGTGAAGACCAGTCCAGATGAACCAGTGGCATATAAGGACATAAGGGCGAGTGATGCCAAATTAGCCAGCAGTTGAAGAACAGCAGCCACAAGAAAAGTCACACACGAACTGTGAAGTCTGACAGACAGCATTAGTTTTGTTTGTTCCCAGATAATTTTGGAGGAATTAATTGAAGATGATCTTACCCTTGCTTGAAAGTTTCATGTCACTTTTCTCGGTTCAGTACCGAATGTTTCTGGTGTGTGCCCACCACCATTACTACAATGACAGTCAGTACAGTACTAGTGCTACCAGTGTCATTCTGCACATGCAAAAACAGTTGACTGCAACAACAAAAACTTGAGGAGGAGAGGAGGAAAGAAAGGACAGAGAGGTTTGCCAAATAGAACAAACAGCAGTGTATGACAAAGGACCTCAACTCACAGTGGCCTCCATATGTATTTGTAGATAAGATAAACAGCTAAAGAGGTGAGTATGTGAAAGCAAGCTTGCCTGTCAAATGTTTATGGCACAAACATTAATAGAGCCAATCTGTGCTCCTACTGCCTTGTATTATGTGGTACAAATATAACACATGAAGTCATCCAAACAACTACACCTTTTCAAATTCGACTGAAGGAAATAATGCAGCTCTAAAGTGATTAGTCAACATGAAATACACCATTAGTATAACACGTTATTGCACTTCAGCTGTATTTTATAGCTGCTGCTTCACCCTCGATAAGAGTGGTGGAATTGCCATTTGACTTTTTGGCACAGTGTTCAAGATCCACCCATGTTGTCAGATGCTACTGAGCAAACACTCATCACAAAAGCAGGCCAAAAGAAGTGGAAACATGATGAATTTCCTATTCTTGAAAATATTTTTAATTGTAATAAAAAATGCCACTAAAATATAAAGAGGAGTTTAAAAAGTCACCTATGATTTTGTAAAGGAAAAATATGTGCAACTATGAACGAAAGCACAGTAACTTTTTAGTATTGTCTATAGCCTTTATTCGGTTGAAGGCACATTTGCCAGTTACTTGCTGATTCGCCGGACGTATGTTTTACCTAAGTACAAAGCTACTCAACGTAATCAATAGACACGCTACTAGAGAAAATCAAACGCACATGGGTGAATGTGACAATCACTAAAATAACTATTTGCTGAAAAAATACAAATGAGCCCAAAAAACCCGACAAGCGAATGGAAAATTCTACAAGCAAGATGGCGGAAAAATAAGTCCAAGTCCGCTTATTAGAAGCAGAACTGGTTACTCAGAGATCCACCTACATATGAGATCTGCTTTCGATTTCAACTGAAATAGAAAATAAGTATAGTGCAGCTGGGTTGATGTGCATCAAAACAGAACTTGAGTACGAAAATTGACAATGTGGCATATTTTTAAAAGTGTTTCTTTTACGTAAATCATTTTATGAAGGCACTTCTTTTGAATAAAAACATGTGAGAGCCGATAAAAAATTACAGAGCCTACTTTTTAAAAGTGCTGGGTTGCAAAGTTTCTTACTCACAAGCAAATATGTATATATCAGTAGTTGAATCCTGCATCTCCAGTGGTACTTCTCTTATATACCAAAAACAAATTAATTAGCTTATAATGAGCTCACCTTTAGTTAAGCTGCTTTATCAATACCGTGCTGGTGCAGATGTTGTGAAGTACTTAAAGAAATAACGAAAAGCAGTGAAGACATTTAAAACAACAAACTGACCACCATTAAAAGCAAATAAAAGAAAAACGTTTCTGCCCCTGTATAAGAGCCGGAACGTCTTGCTTTTATTTTATTTTAATTGTGGTCAGTGTGTCGTTTCAATTGTCATCATGTCTCTTCCTGACCAGACGGTTTTCCGTCCAACTAAGATTTCAGCAAATAGCAGTGTTTAAAGCAACCCAAACCTGGTGTAGTCTTGTTTTTTGCCAATAAAAGAAATTAAGCTAGCGGAAATTAAAACACTGTAAAGTGCCGCAGAAGTGACCAGTTTCAAAGAAGTATCAAGTATTAACACTTCCAAAACTTTGGAATTCTGACAAAGCATGGTCGCAGCCACTGTTCCCACACTCCTTATACGATTCGCTGGCCGCATGATGCACTCCTACACTGTCACCCAAAAGATCTAAGCCGGGGAGTGGCACTGGGCACCGAGAAAAAATGTGAGCTTATACCTCTTGGCATTTCAAGATATACAGAAAAAAGGCTCCGTGAGTGGGACTACAAGTGTGATGCCCTAAAGCACCTCAACTACGAAGTTCATCGATGGCAGGCCCATGTTCAATTAAGAGTTCATGATGCCCTCATAATAATACCTGGGGTTTTACTTCCTAAAACCTCAATATGATTACGAGAGACACTGTAGCAGAGGGCTCTGGAAATTTTGACTACCTGGGGAAGGCAGCATACATATCACTAACACCAGCTGTGCCTGTCGCATTTCCACTGTGGCCATGGTGGCACTGTGTACATTACAGGAGGGTGCACCGGAATCCTACAGCCTGTGAATGTTTACTGGAATAATTCATTCAAGGAATCCCTCTACATATAATAGTCTGAGTTCATAAGTAATGGAGAGGGGATTCCTGAAGGGAACCTGTGGACATTTTTGCACCAAGACGTGCTGAAGTTTGTGTCAAAAGCTTGGGCTGGTCTGCCAGAAGGGATGGTCGTGCAATTCTTCAAAGGTTGTGGGATCGCTGTTTAGTTGGACAGCAGGAAGAATGGGCACTTGCATAATGAACTTGCAGGCACTGGAGAGGCTATGGTCGGTTAAATTCACATGAGTATTAGTGATGAATGCACTCACCTCCTATTTTCTACGAATTCGGAAGAGTCGTTTGTTGGGTTCAGTGATGGTGAGTAGGCATTACTGTACTCCATTGTTAACAATTTTAAAATAAACACACTTCTTCGATTTCGTAAACCACCATATTACTGCCTTGAAGCTTTTGTTGGCTGCCATCTTGGTTGTTGCTACTTTGACTGGACAAGTGTCTATACCTAAATTGCTGCAATTTTCAGTGGTAGTAGAATAGGTATTTCCTGGGTACTTTAAAGTATACAGGCTTCAAGTGATGCAACAAATAACATGTCTGCAGTGCAACAGTAGTCTTGAAATGTACCCTCAACAAGAACACTTTGGATATTAAGAGCCAGAGGTCCTAACATGCACACTGAAAACTGCTGAGGTGTCGAGAAAAGAGAGCCCCCATTCATTCCCAATGCAATTATCTAGGATGTATACCGGTACGTTTGATATCACTGCCATTATCGGATTTAAAGTCTTTGGTCTAGGTTTTCCTTTTTTTTTTTTTTCCTCTACGGAAGAAAAGAACTGCAATAGACCTAGGTTGGTTTAATGCTCCTTTCAGGTGTGCAAAAACCAGCACTGCTCTATTTTTTCCCAAGTAAATTGTAGAATATGTAAAAAGTCCATCACATTAAAATGTCTGAAAAACGGCTGACACACCCGACACACTGACCACTTCACGCCATAATATAGGGTGGGTCACGCATCGTCCCACTGCCCACTTGTGAGCTGAAGAACCTGACTTCCCGATACCCTAGTTACATGGGCGTGTGCTAACATCAGTTGCAAGAAACTGCAGTTACCTGTAGTTAACTACAGTTACTGTCAAATGCAACATACACCCGTTTAACAGAAAACGCTGTGCTCAGCTGCGAAGCAGGTCACGTGATATTCAGCTTCACAAATCAAAATATAAAATCCAGCTGCTTTTCATAAGTAGACTGGCAAATAAAATATATTTTCTTTAGAATAACTTTTCTCTTTACACCAGCAGTACTCCAGCATATTGCTTCAAGTACCTTGACAGAATTCAACATAAGATAAGGCTGCTTTTACAACCATGGGCAAATTCCTGTTAAGGTTGGCGTAAAAGCCAAGAGAATTTGTGGTTTGAAAAGCTTGGCATTGACTCTTGAAACATCATGGCTTGTTTTGCCGCACTGTCTCACATATCAGCAGCTTTGCTGAGAGCAACCAGTTGATGCCCTCTTGGGAAGATGTTTAGGCCTTTGTTAAATCCCCAGCTGACTACGACTGCTGCCATTTTGTTAGCTTCATTAAATGAGGCAATGAGCCATCACTAAAAAATTAGTACCAACTATCCAACGCTCAGGAGTACGCTTCACTAACATGCCTGACTCCCTACATAAAATTCTCAAAATATTGGTAATGCTGATGCTACTATAGTAAAATGAAAGCAAGCTTGTATGCATTTACAAATTATACAGTATCACTGCACACAATGCATGAATGAAACATTCTAAAGCAGATGGCTTATTCTAGCCGAAAAGCTTATTGCATTTTTTTTTTGTCACAATTTACATTGAAAAAAAAAAAGATCGATATTGTACTTTTAGCCCTGGAGACTGTTTATATAATTGCCCAGTATTTGTGGTGAATCCTCATTCAAACAGTGTAAATACAATTTCATCCTACAAAAAAAAAAAAGCTGCAAAGGAATGTCTTAATTCACTGCAATATTTTGGACTGATCATTGAAACACTGCTGAGCTTTCACAAATATTTGAAAAATATATAAATAAATAAATAACAACTGAAGCAGCACAAGCTAGCACAACATTAGTAACCATATGCACAACAGTGTTACAGCTAAACCAGAGGCACTAACCAGTAAATTCACCTACCTTAATATCTCTGTGAATGAATCCTTTGGAATGCACATACTCCACCCCACTCAAGATCTGCTTGAAGATGCTCATTGCTTCTGGAATGATGCTGATGCTACTCTCAGCTGTAGGTTAACATTTAGAAAGAGGGTGAAAATTTTCATTAACCAAACAACACCGAGTTGGACAGAAAGAGTTGATGACATGAATATCCTTAAGACAACCAGCAGTTTATTACATGTCATGAGTGGCAAGTCTTACAAGAACCCCAACAGCTTTAGAATGGGTAACCTGACTAAGAAGGACTGGCAACATAGCTTTCTTTTTTTTATAACTCAAGATTGAGGCTCACAGAAAGTTGCAGACTAAGCAATCAAAAGTGTGTAAAAAAAGAGATTCCATCGACACTTCCACAAAGCCAGCTTACTAAAACAATTGCTCTAGCAACATATCCTTTATTGAACTATAAGCTCACAAGAAACCTTACTAGCTAGGCTTTCACTAATGAAGGCTACACTGAACTTCCTTGCAATACTAGAGCCATCACTCTCCACTCTGACCTTGTACAAGCTGCACAGCCTTCTTATGCTACACACCTGTGCTTATTTCATGTTTGCTATTTATAGGGTTGTGCAAATAATGAAATTTCGTCTCCAATCAAATTCATACTGAATATTGCTAAATAGTGGCCACAAATATCCAACATTGATTTGTATACTGAATGCTAAAGACTTTATTGAAAATTCAAAGAAAGAACAATGAAATGAAATCTGTTCACATTTTCGAGCACATAACATGACGAGTAACTCCTGCTGAAAGAATACTAATTGTACTACAACTGTAAGACTATAACAATATTATGGTGTTTCACTGTCACGAGTGCTTCGGGTCCACAAACCTTCAGGTGGCTGTTCACAACAGCATTTTTACTGCGCACTAGGACAAAGGAAATTTCCGAATGAGTGGTGCAGCGGGCAAGTGGTCGCTGCACAGTGTGAACAAATTTTCACATGTGAAGAAGGTTTGGTGGGCCAAGTATTAAGTTATTTTGGTGCTTGCAGCATATGTGACAACATCGCGCAAGAAGTTCGTGCCTTCGTTTCAGAAACAAAGTTGTGAAGGGCTTGACAGTTTTCTCTCTTTCTCTCTTATCCTTGCCTTTAAATTGAACATGAACTTGCTTTTGAACCAGGATATCGGCACAATTTTAATGAAAGGCCAACTGCACTGACGTATGCATTGGCTTTAGACACCCCACCCTAACCAAGTTGCCCCATAGGCCTTTGTCATGTTTTATTCTTATGCTGGCAGTGACCACCCAATGGCCGCAACACTACCACGCAGTGTGTGGAAGCACATGCCCCTGTTTCGATGCTCTTTAATTGCAGTGGATGTGACACACTAGCTCTGGTTATCATCATCATCATCATCATCAGCCTGACTACGTCCACTGCAGAACAAAGGCCTCTCCCATGTTCCACCAGTTAACCCGGTCCTGTGCTTGCTGCTGCCAATTTCTCCCCCTAACCCGCTTCCCTTCTCTGGGAATCCAGTTAGTTACCCTTAATGACCAGCGGTTATCCTGTCTACGCGCTACATGCCCGGCCCATCTCCGTTTCCTCTTCTTTATTTCAACTATGATATCCTTAACCCCCGTTTGTCCCCTAATCCACTCTGCTCTTTTCTTGTCTCTTAAGGTTACACCTACCATTTTTCTTTCCACTGCTCGCTGCGTCGTCCTTAATTTAAGCTGAACCCTCTTTGTAAGTCTCCAGGTTTCTGCTCCGTAGCTAAGTACCGGCAAGATACAGCTGTTATATACCTTCCTCTTGAGGGATAGTGGCAATCTACCTGTCATAATTTAAGAGTGATTGCCGAATGTGCTCCACCCCATTCTTATTCTTCTAGTTACTTCAATCTCGTGGTTAGGCTCTGCGGTTATTACCTGCCCTAAGTAGACAGTCTTTTACAACTTCAAGTGCACTATTACCTATCTCGAAGCGCTGCTTCTTTCCAAGGTTGTTGTACATTACTTTCGTTTTCTGCAGATTAATTTTAAGACCCACCTTTCTGCTCTCCTTGTCTAACTCCGTAATCATTAGTTGCAATTCGTCCCCTGAGTTACTCAGCAATGCAATGTCATCGGCGAAGCGCAAGTTACTAAGGTATTCTCCATTAACTCTTATCCCTAACTGTTCCCATTCTAGGCTTCTGAAAACCTCCTGTAAGCAAGCAATAAATAGCACTGGGGAGATTGTGTCCCCCTGCCTTACACCCTTCTTGATTGGTATTCTGTTGCTTTCTTTATGAAGCACTATGGTAGCAGTTGATCCCCTGTAGATTTCTTCCAGAATGTTTATATATACTTCATCTACGCCCTGATTCCGCAGTGCCTGCATGACGGCTGATATTTCTACTGAATCAAACGCCTTCTCGTAATCTATGAAGGCTATGTATAGTGGTTGGTTATACTCTGAGCATTTCTCTATTACCTGATTGATAGTATGAATGTGGTCAATTGTTGAGTAGCCTGTTCGAAATCCTGCTTGTTCCTTTGGTTGATTGAATTCTAATGTTTTCTTTACTCTGTTAGCAATTACCTTTGTAAATAGCTTGTATACTACAGAGAGCAAGCTGATCGGCCTGTAATTCTTCAAGTCCTTGTCATCTCCTTTCTTATGTATTAAGATGATGTTAGCGTTCTTCCAAGACTCTGGTACCCTTCCCGTCAGGAGACACCTCGTAAACAGGGTGGCTAGTTTTTCTAACACAATCTGTCCTCCATCTTTCAGCAGGTCTGATGTTACCTGATCCTCACCAGCAGCTTTGCCTCTTTGCAAGCTCTCCAAAGCTTTTCTGACTTCTTCTATCATTACTGGTGGGGTGTCATCTGGGTTATTGCTAGTTCTTATAGTACTAAGGTCGTGGTTGTCTCGGCTACTGTACAGATCTCTGTAAAACTCCTCCGCTATTTTAACTATCCTATCCATATTGGTAGTTATTTTGCCTTCTTTGTCCCTTAGTGCATACATCCCACTTTTGCCTATCCCAAGTTTCCTCTTCACTGCTTTGACACTTCCTCTGTTTTTCAGAGCGTGTTCAATTCTCTCCATGTTATACCTTCTTACATCGCATACTTTACGTCTATTAATCAACTTCGAAAGCTCTGCCAGTTTTATTTTGTCTGTTGTGCTTGACACTTTTATGATTTGACGCTTCTTAATTAGGTTCTTCGTTTCCTGGGAAAGCTTGCCAGTGTCCTGTCTAACTACCCTGCCTCCAACTTCCACTGCACACTCCGTAATGATACTCGTCAGATTATCATTCATTGTATCTACGCTAAGGTTGGTTTCCTCACTAAGAGCCGAGTACCTGTTCTGCAGCGACACTCTGAATTCCTGTACTTTCTCTCTCAGTGCTAGCTCATTGATTGGCTTCTTGCGTATCAGTTTCTGTCGTTCCTTCTTCAAGTCTAGGCGAATTCGAGACCGTACCATTCTATGGTCACTGCATCGTACCTTGCCAACGACTTCCACATCCTGCACGATTCTTGGGTGTGCAGTCATTATAAAGTCTATTTCGTTCTTATTTTCGCCATTAGGGCTCCTCCATGTCCACTTGCGGTTTTCTTGTTTTCGGTAGAACGTATTCAAAATTCGCAAATTATTGCGTTCTGCGAATTCTACTAGTAGCTCTCCTCTGGCGTTTCTAGTGCCGATGCCATAATCTCCTACTGCTTGGTCTCCAGCCTGCTTCTTCCCTACCTTTGCATTAAAGTCGCCCATCACTATAGTATACTGTGTTTTACCTTACTCATTGCCGATTCCACGTCTTCATAGAAGCTTTCAACTGAAGCGTCATCATGACTGGATGTAGGCGCGTAAGCCTGTACTACCTTCGTCTTGTATCTTTTATTCAGTTTAATTACAATACCTACCACCCTTTCATTATTGCTATAGTATTCCTCTATGTTGCCAACTATGTTTCTGTGAATTAGGAACCCCACTCCCAGTTCTCTTCTGTCTCCCAAGCCCAGATAGCAAAGGACATGCCCATTCTGCAGCACCGTATAGGCCTCATCTGTCCTCCTAACCTCACTGAGCCCTATTATATCCCATTTAACACCCTCTAGCTCCTCGAATAGTACAGCTAGACTTCCCTCACTAGATAATGTTCTAGCGTTAAACGTTGCCAAGTTCAGGTTCCAATGGCGGCCTGTCCGGATCCAGAGATTCTTAGCACCCTCTGCTGCGTTGCAGATCTGACCGCCGCCGTGGTCAGTTGCTTTGCAGCTGCTGGGGACTGAGGGCCGTGAGTTATTTGACGTATGCATGTGGGAGGTAGTGGCCAGATACTGCACCAGGGTGGCCAATCCTTCTCTGGTGAGGGAGTGCGTTTCCGGCGGTGGTTACCGGTGAGGCCGCACCCCAGGCCTCTTAATGCAGTTCCATCAACACGCGGATTTTTTTTTTAATCCGGTTGGGAACTGCGCGGCACCGGGATTTGAACCACGGACCTCTTGCATGCGAGGCGGATGCTCTAACCACTACGCCATCGCCGCCACTAGTTCTGGTTATGCCCCGACCTAAAGTAAGCACGCCTTCATTATCTCAGAGCAACCATTCCACCTATCACTCTTCAACTTAATGCAAGAGTTCAACTTGTTTATGTGTGATGAGCCTCTTGTGTTATTTGCTTTTGTGGTGCCAGATGGAAGTCTCAAATTAAAAAGATATTTATACAGTCAAGTTATTTGAAACTTTGAACACTAGCTATTCAAACGTCACACTGAATTCTTGGATTAGGTATTATTCGATTGTAACTTGAAACTCGAATATCCACAGAATCCTACTATTTATAAGATATTGCCATGGTAATGATGATGGATTAAAGCACAGCAGTATAAAAAAATTAAGACAATCAGAAAAGAGGCATGATGTGCCCAACTTATGTGCTCTACTGTCTATTTTTATTTATGTGTATACTCCGTTTCACACATCAGGTGCAACACTGTGAAGGCTAGCAAGACTTCTTACCGTCGGCGCTTTGCATTAAGAAATAACAATGTCATTTCAATTAAAAATAGATTTCATAGCAAAAGCTGTTATGAGATCGCAACAAAGGGCGCCAATGCTGTAGTTGTCCACCTTCGCCGCCGGTATTCGTAACCACTACTGAATGAAGAAAAAAAAACTAATTAAATAAAAAATACCCAGGACAGAATGGTATTTAAACCTGGGTCCCTATGCGTGCCAGCCATGTACTTTACCACTGAGATATGCCGGCGCTTGAAACTCCGTTTCAAACTGACCCTGGGTGGGCTGCTGCATGTTGGGTGAAGAATTGTGTTAAGTAATAAAGCATTTTAGAACAGCAAAGGAATAACTAGGCACCACGCAATGCGAATTGCATAACAAGTGGGTCATCGAATGCTTCAACCCATCACAAAAGTCTCGGGCATAATTCTTCATCGTCGTCAGCCACAGCATCAATAAAATGCTCATAATTCCTTGCAAGTGCATAGCACTTCTGTGAAGAAGGACGAAGAATGACAGTGAATGCCTCCTTACTACAGAAAATTATGATTACTCATGTCGTAGTGGGTACTGATCTTCCAGCTTTCACTGCAACTCTGCTACACACTCGATGCAGGCCCATTTTTAGGCTGAATATTAAATGAGCATGTTTTGTGCCATAAAAGTAAGCAAACCACCTAGCACGATCCTTACTACGGCTTGATTGGTTAATGTCATTATGCTTTCATTTGCTGCAACGCATCACGTGGAGGCCGATGCTCGGCCCGCGGGAGCATTTATGACAAGAGCCGACCATGATATACGTGGAGTGATACGTTTTGCTGATTGAAATACTTGCAGAACTACTACAACGTTGCACCTGATATGGGAAACCGAGCATAGAGCTCCTGCTGCGAAGCTTAGGCGAATCCTCAGTAAAGCATCAGCTACAACAAATAGTGATAAGTTATACAGTTGGAGCTTAATGACCAAATAAGAGGTTACTTACCAGACTCTGGGTCAGCTAGCCGCTGATTACGTGCGGCCAACCAATCTGCAAGGTTTTTGGAACATAGCTCCATTTGAATGTACAGCATACCTCCAACATCCTTTAATAAGTATGTCCAATACAAGTCACATGAAAAAAGAACAGTAAAAAAGAAAACTATTTTCACAGATGAAAGTTAAGAAAATGCAATCCGCAATATCAGCTTGAAGAAAACCATGCATCAAAATGAACATGCACATAAAAAAAATGTTTTTTATTTCATTTACAACATTAGAAGTAACTTATTCCGAACTCTCCTTAGTCTGTACGACAGCAACCAAATCTCTTGGCCCTTTTTCAACAGCTAACATGAACTTACAACAGCGTTTGTGACAAATCATAACAAACATACAAACCCACCAACTTTAAAATCGAGAAAAAGCAACCGTTTAAATACTTGCTTCCATTTGAATGTAAGAAATAATAAATCTTAGTGGAGTCTCCAAACATTCAGCACGAGATGCACCAGTTAACATTAAAACACATGTAATTGCTAACTTCTGCTTAATATTTTCCCATTATTTTTTTTTAAATGCTACATTATTGTACCGTCTACATACAAATTTGTTCCTTCCTTTTAAGAAAACCGTTCACCATAAAGACCAGCCTGACTTTTATTCTGGTTTCTATTTTTTTCAGGCAGTATCCTGTTTTTTTTTTTATTTTCTTTGTTTCTACCCCAAGCTTTCAAGTACCTCCTATAGGTCAGTAGCCTGCCAATAAAATGGCCATTGCCAGTTTTAAAGAAATCACGAACCACCCTTTGAACTAAAAAAAAAAAACATTCTGTGGAGACCAGACGCTGCTACAAATAGCCCAGCCAAATCTCGTAGCTGTGAACAGCAAGGAGAGTTTAGAAGCAGAGCACGAAGTTGCTATTTTCTCAGGTGTCCCTTCTGCATACAGAGACTTGTGTTCACTCTTCAGAGATGCTGGCACCTGCTGTACGTAGCATGATATTGATTCAAAGCAGACACAAATCAAGAGTGGCGTTTGGATCAGATGTGCTTCTTGCCACGGGGTGCCACTATGCGCTGACACTGTGCTTCATAGTTTCCTAACATTACACTGTAGCCACACTCACAATGGCAGAGAGCAGTCATGTTTCACCATGTGTGCTCAAGGTCATGATGTGTGCCAATTTAGCTTCTTACCCCCCCTTCCCGTCACTGCCTGTGTAGATTGTAGTGTACTCATCAGGACGAAAGAGGAGAGTGCTTAAAGCAAGCAACAAATCCCTGTAACTCTGCTCATTAATGACAAAATCAAGAAATGTTTTGTGGCAATTGATCCATAAGGCAATAAACTACCTTGCTTAAGTTATTGGACTATCAATGCCATGGCACTTAAACAAACCACTTTAAGTGCTATGGCACCAGATTTTCCATCAAGCATAGAAAGAAAATGGAAATGTAAAAGCTAAAGAAAGCTGGGCTGGAAGGTTACTCTTTGGAAAGATCTTGCTTTCATAAACATTTCATAATACATGAAAGCCAAACTTCCATTTCTTATTGCCTCTTATAGACGAATTCCACCGGACATATGTCGCGAAAATGCAGTGGTGCTGTCGTGGGGCGTTTGGTTTCACGCGGTAGGCAAAAGAAGCCAAGTCTGCTGCAGTTACTGCTGTGTTTTTGCTAGTTCTTGTGCTGTTTGTCAACGTGCAAAGAAAAAAAATGATGTGCCAACGACCTTTCACGATGATTTGTGCGGGAAGGCAAAAAAAAGATGGGCCAGGTCTTTATTTTTTTTCGTTTTTTTTTTCAAATAAAAAAGAAAGAAAAGACACAAGAAGATTAGACTTGCAAGAACTTGCCTTCGACGCCGGTTCATTAGTTATGTTTCGGAGCGGCTTATAGCAAAAACGATCACTTCTGTCAAGTGTGTCGTTTAATTTGCCACCCCGCATTTTTTGGAATAAGCCTGGTGTGTAGGCATAGCGAGCATATTCATCACAACACACGTTGTGAATAGCATTGCCATATGCGAAGAAATGTAAAAAATTTTTTGCAGTTGCCAATGTTGATAGAACTGTAGAAGTCTTGGACGCGTCAAAAGGATTTCGTTATACTCACGTGAACTAAACCTTTCACTCGGTCATGAAGCATGTGTTTCTGTGTGGACACAACTGAAGCAGGAGAGAACGAAAGGATGATGTGGACTATGCTTTTTCTTTATATGCAGCTGCGATGACACACCGTGTATCAATCAGGGCTGTTCTGGCTGTGGTGCGCTACGGGCTTTTGACGTCTGAGAATTCACAGAAAAACAGTCCTCGGGAAACTTTCCCAGTCTGTTTATGGTCTGTATGCATTTTGCGGCTTTGACTTGAGCGTATGAATTGAGCGCAGACCTGACAAGTACATAACCGCATTTCCCCAGCATGTACAGTTGATGTATGTATAGTTGCATGTATAGCAACCCAGCATGTATAGCATGTATAGTTGCATGTATAGTTGCCCAGCATGTAGTTGCATGTAGTTCCCCAGCATGTATAGTTGCATGTATAGCAAGTGTACTGATGATGAGTGTCACCGAGATCACCCCAGGTCATTTGCATAAATAACTTTTGCCGCACATTCATTATACACAAGGATTTACTGAAACGATTCGTGGCTATGTATTTTTACACCGTGCATTAGCATATCTTATCCTAGAGTTTCTTGCTGAGCTGTGTCCATCGTTCTTGCATTAATTAACAATTTACAAATGTACTTGTGTGACGTACACTGCCACAACGGCAATGACATTTCGTAAATGAGCCACATTCCCACCCTCAAGATACCTCATGTTTTGAGGAGGTTTGCAAAGCTAGAGCTACACATCAACAAGGCTCATGTGTTGATTTCAGAGCCCCTCTAACAGCCACTGCAACTACCTCTGTTGCGGTGGTGCTTAGGAGAAGAAGAAAGTGCCTGAATTCTGCAGCTTGGTAGGGAGCATGGCGCAGCGCCTGCTCTATTGTGGCTGCCACTTGAAAGCATGTGGGAGGCGTCCCAACACGCCGTGCTCGGAGGCAGCTTTTGCAGCTGCTGCGCCAGTTGTCATGTGACCATAGAGGGTAGTAGCGCACTTTTGACCGGGACAGCTGGGCAAGGCTTACGAGCTGTGACGTTGCTACTACAAACCTACATATATCGACGGTGCCTACCCCTGTTTATAAAGATGGAATAGGTCTATACTTCAACCACAATACCAATCACAACCACAATATCACAACCATTTGAGTTTTTTAAAATAAATTTTCTATCCTACTTTAGCAGGGATACAGCAGAAGCTGCCAGATAGCTTTACCTCTCATCGTCATAGAAAATAAAAAGGCTTAAGCCTCAAGTAAAAAAAAAAAATTAACATTGCCAGTAACTTATAGTGCTTGTGATAACATGGTGGGCTTGTTTAGTGCATTAACAACACTTTTTGAACATGGTCAGAAAACAGCGCTCATTGGAAGTTGAGGCTAATGTGAACAATGTTAGTCAAATATTAAAGCATGTGTTAGTAAATTTACAATGAAATTAGAAACACAGCTAGATACTGCTCTTCTCTTGGCAAATTACCTCACTGCATGGACCAACTTTGCCAGAGGAGAGAAGAATAAAGATTTTGGAGGCTGCTTCAACTATGCAGCACAAGAATTCTCAATCACCCAGACTGCTATAACGTGCCTGCAATACCTTAAGTTCCTGTATACAGCTTAGGACCGTGTACAGTAGCGGCACTAGTGTGCTTGTCACTACACTGAAAAAGAGCTGGGCAGTTAAAAAAAAAAAGTGCTTAAGGTCATGATGTGTACTGATGTCGCTTCTGGTCTCTTTTATCACTTCCCCTCTCCCTTTCTAGAGTGCGTGAGCTGAAGGAGAAAAAAAAAACACAAAGTATACAAAAAATGCTAGCAACTCTGCAAGTACAGCTGCGACCACATTTGAGTAGAGCGTGCGAGCAGCTGGTTTTTGCTCTGTGGGGCAACATCCTTTGGCAGTTTCGGGCTGTGACGTGGTCAGCTAGGCCACGCATGCTTCTGACACACTACGTCAGAGCCTGAAACTGCTTCAAGGAGCCACCCAGCAGAGCAAAAAGTGACTGCTCGCGCGCTCTACACAGATGTGGCCGCGACTGTACTTGATAAATTGAAAACATTTTTGCAGCTGTGAATTCATGAAGCAGTAAACTGCGACAGAAAGGCCATTTGACGATTGCTTGGAAAAATGTTTTAGGGCCCCTCTGAACTGGTCTGTAACCCCCATCTTTTAAGATTTTGTCAAACCATTAAGCAAACTATTTTTACACGAATGAAGGGCACAGATGAACACACACTCAAAAAATAAAAAGAGTACAAAAAAGGAGAGCTACATCTTGTTTGTCGTTTGAGTATGTGTCCTTTGATCAGCCTGTCTTTGTATTGCTTTTGGTAATTTTAATTAAGCTTGCTTGTCAAAACTTCTACACAGAAGTGCATCCAAATGACATTTGCTTGACAAGGTCCCTATCAGTGTGCTTTCAAACTTGATCCCCCTTCTACAATGCACAGAAACGATATAAATGAAGTGTTTATTCTTCTATGAGAGGCTATCAACAGGATTGTATAAATTTACATCAAATGCAAAGTGTAAGAAGCATTCTGAATTAGCTTTATGTATGAACATTAGGCTGCTTAGACAAAAAAGCAGGCTAAAGAGAGAACCAGCTTACCGAAGAACGAAGAAGACTAAAGATGTGCTCTTGAGGAGTCACCACTATTGAGACACCAGAAACAACGCTTGATGTCTTCCTTCCATGTACCCTATCTGCATCTACACTTTTTATGAGTTCACCTTCACTCTTGGAACTTTGGTGAGAGTGTTTCCATCTTCTTACAGATGCACTATCACAAACAATATCCACAGTCTCCTTGCTTGGCTCTTCCAGAGATACACATCGTTCAGATGCATACGAATCACAGTCTTCATGGCTCGTGCTATTAGAACACTGCTTCTGGCATTCTTTTGGCTCTTTGGCCTGAAATGTAGATGACTCAAAAGTATATGGTAGTGAGCTTGTGTCACCATTACCAGAGGATATAGGAACAGTACTGCAAAGAAAAATTAACACAGTAAGGTAACTTATATACCAACCTTTTCACACACATCATATTCACAAGGACGAGAAACGTGTTAGTCCCCAATTGAGAAAGATCATATGCCTAACAAAGCCATGATGATGTTTGATGTTTTGTGGCGCAAGGGCTGGCGCAAAGAGCACCAGTTCATGTTACAAGAGATATGGACAATGATTGTGATAAGCGGCTGTATATGGGCCATAAAATTCCTCGCTGTAAGGCGGGTAAAAAAATAGAAGTAATAAAAACATGACCATGCCTTGAAAAGTGTGGGGTGTTAATGCATGACAAAAGTTTGTGATAATAAAAACGATGGACATGTATGGCATCAGCACAAGTGCCTCACTCGTTCACACCCTTGCATCCAAGGGCCGTGAGGCAAGTGCTTTGTTGAGTGTAGCCACCGCAGCGGAGACCTCTTGGGAGAGGTCGCACTATGGAATGCCCGGGTATATGATATGAAAAGTAAGAATTTCTTTTAAAAACGCTAACAATAAGTTACGACTAAAAAGTGGTTTTCTACCGATGAACACTGCAGGATGTAGTGGTACCTGTTGTCGGTAGGGTAATGGGAAGTGTCTTCTTAGCTTGTCTAATTCTTTGCACTGTATTAGAATGTGAAGTATGGTGAGTGCTTCTCCACATCTATCACACAAAGGTGGATCGCCCCGAGATAAAAGAAATGAATGTGTTGTGTTTGTATGGCCTGTTCTTAACCTTGTAAGGATTACTTCTATATGGCGTGATTTTGATACTGGCGGCAAATGATCAAGTTGTGGCTTGATGACATGCAATTTATTCCCTGTGTATGCCTCCCATGTGCTCTGCCAATAAACCCTGAGCTTTCGCAATATAACAGCTTTCAAGTCGAGGGCAGGAATCGGTATCGAAGTGTTGATAGTGCTTTTGTTGGCGGATCCAGCTAGCTGGTCCACCAGAACACTGCCTTGTATTTCGCGGTGTCCAGGCACCCAGCAGACTACAACATGCTGCTTAGATGAGTACACTGTGCATAGGAGTGAATAAAGCGAGACAAGGACAGGGTTTTTGTGCTTTTTAGGTGTTTTCAGAGCTTTCACTACGCTTAGAGAATCTGTATATATTATTGCCTTCTGTAGCTTTATTTGTTTAATGTGTTTAACGGCCGCAAGTATGGCATAAGCTTCGCCGGTAAAGATGCTTGCATCAGAGTGCAGAACGCCAGCTTCCGAAAAGGATGGGCCCACGGCTGCATACGAGACAGAAGTGTTAAGACTTTGAAGCATCCGTAAAGAACTCAGGACATGTGTATTGATGTAGTTCAAGGAAGTATGTCTGGATATGTGCGATTGGTGCATGCTTTGTAACCTCCAAGAAAGACACGTCGCAATCTATCACCTGTCACTGCCACGGTGGCAAGCATATTGCGGGAGCCATCAAGCGGTGTTCGAGTGGCACACCGGTTTCCTTCGCTAGGCCCCTCACACGGAGTGAGTAGGGTTGTCTCATAGAAGGCTGTTTTTCAAACACAGCTGAACATGACTTGTCATTAATTGTTGAATGTGATGGGTGATCCTTGTCTGCATTCACATTAAGATGATATTTAAAAGACATGTAACATCTCTGTTGGTGGAGCGACCATTCGTTTGATTCCACGTACAGGCTTTCCATGGGGCTAGTGCGAAAAGCACCCATAGAGATGCGGATGCCTAGATGATGAACAGGATCAAGCATTTTAAGGGCAGTAAGTGTTGCAGACTGATACGTTATTGCCCCATAGTCTAGGCCGGTACGTACGAGGCTTTTATACAAATTCATTAAACACTTCTTGTCACTTCCCCACGTAGTGCGAGACACTTCTAGAACGTTCATAGCTTTTATGCACTTGTTTTTTAAATATTTGATGTGTGGTATGAAGGTTAGTTTGGTGTCTAAGATTAGGCCTAAGAATTTGTGTTCGGTATTAACAGAAAGACGTTGACCATGCAGTTGAACATTGGGTTCGGAATTAAGGCCTCTCTTCCTGGAAACAAGACACACGTGCTTTTCTGTGCATTCAACCGGAACACGTTTTCTTCAGCCCAATTGGAGACTGTTCAAACCAAGCTGAACCTGGCGCTCACACATGGCCAGATTGCAAGATCTAAAGCCAAGCTGAATGTCATCGACATATGTACAATAAAACATATTGCGAGGGATGGAGAAGCGCAAAGAAGTCATTTTGATAAGAAGAAGTGTGCAGCTAAGTACACCACCTTGCGGGACGCCTATTTCTTGGATAAATGTTTGGGAAAGAATGCTGCCTACTCGAACTCGAATGTCCGATTGGACAAGTAACTTTCGATTAGGTTAAACATTCTTCCGCGCACGCCAAGATGGAACAGGTGTCTTAATATTCCAAAGCGCCATGTTGTATCATAAGCCTTTTCGATATCGAGGAACACGGAAAGAAAATTTTGTTTATGGACGAAAGCGTCTCTGATCTGTGCCTCGATACGAACAAAGTGGTCTGTGGTGGATCTACCCTCTCGAAACCCAAACTGAAATGGGTCGAGTAAATTGTTCACTTTAAGGAAATGTACAAGTCAACAGTATCATTTTTTTGAAGACTTTGCACAAGCAGCTTGTAAGTGCAATAGGCCTATAGCTCGAAGCTGAAGAAGGGTCCTTGCCCTCTTTCAAAATGGGAATAATGATAGCCTTTTTACAGGAAGTAAGGATAGCGCCAGAAAACCAGGTAGCATTGTACAAACAAAGTAAGGTTTTTTGTGTTTCGATTGGCAGGTTTTTAACATTTCATACACCACACGGTCAGAACCTGGGGAGAAGTACTGCACGAGTTTAGAGGTGTTTGGAGCTCAGCTAAACTGAAAGCTTGGTTATATGCCTCTTATCTAGTGCATTTGTGTTCGAGTTTCTGCTTTTTTAGTCTTGTTCTGTATTTTTGGAAAGTGTCAGTATAGTGCGACGAGCTGGACACCCGTTCGAAGTGTGCACCGAGGAAGTTCGCCTGATCTTCCAAGGTATCACCCTGTGTATTTACGTGTGAAAGTGCGTGTACTTGTTTTCCAGCTACCCTACCAACCATTTTCCAGACTCTAGCCTCCTGTGTGTATGAATTGATCCCCGACAAAAACTTCTGCCAGCTTTTTCTTCTCGCCTGCCGACGCGTTCTCCTGCCTTGAGACTATTTTCTTGAACTGCCTTGAGACTATTTTCTTGAAGGTGTCAAGATTTTCGGCTGTCGGTGAGTTCCGAAGCAACCTCTATGTTCTGTTTTGCTGTTTGCACGTGTTTCGGCATTCAGAGTTCCACCATGGCACACGCCGTTTTCCAGGGTGTCCATTTGTTTGTGGGATGCATTTTGTTGCAGCATCGATCAAAAACGCTGTGAAGTAGTTAACAGCAACATCAATGCTCAAAGTACATACGTCCCTCCAACCTAAACGAGCCATGGTATAACACTGTTCCTAGTCGGCTCTGTTTATGAGCCATTTGGGAACACGTGGTGGACACTCAGTTGCTGTGGTTGTGCTCAAAACTACGGGGAAGTGGTCACTTCCGTACGGATTACTGATGACTTTCCACTGGAGTAAAGACACAAGAGATGGAGAAACTATGCTTAGATCTATAGAGGAGTAGGTATTATTAGCGAGATTATAATAGGTTGGTTCTTTTCTATTTAGAAGAGACGCGCTCGATGAGAGAAGGAACTGTTCAATAAGTCGACCTCGCAAGTCACAACGAGAGTCGCCCCATAGCCTGCTATACGCATTAAAGTCTCCAAGGAAAACATAAGGCTCCAGAAGTTCATCAATTAAAGAGTGTAAATCATGTTTTTGCAGCTGATAGCTAGGATGAATGTAAATAGTGCAAATTGTGATCAGTCTATCAAAAAGAACCGCTCGAACAGCCACTGCCTCAAGGGATGTTTGGAGTTGTGTGTGCATGCAATCCCTTGATTCACTATAATGGCAACGCCTCCAGATGATGTCATGGCATCATCACGGTCCTTTTGGAAACTAACTTATTTACGAAGAAAGTTGGTGTGTTTTGAATTAAGGTACGTTTCTTGTACACACAGCACTTTTGGTGCGTTCGTGTAAAAGTTCTTGGATGTCGTCAAGGCTTCTGAGAAGGCCCCTGACTTTTCATTGTATAATTTAAGTGTTCATGATGAATGTAAAGTAGTGCTGTGTGTACGAAAAGCGAGTGGCTATTTAGGCGGTGAGTTTGAGTTCATGTAACAGGGCCGTCACGAGGCCCAGTTATCTGCTTTTTTGTTTTTTTGGTGCGCTCCAAGGAGCCACGCCGCTCTTTCGGCACTAAGGGTACCGACGTATCCATTGCCTCCTCAGAGGCACTGGATGCCCGCACGTGCGAGCTGTTAGTTCGAGTTTCGGGCCTCTCCTGGTGAGGTGAAGCCTTGAGACCTGAGGACTCTGAAGTAGGCGGTGCAGTCTGGACTACAGCCGCCTTGGCGGCAGGTGCCACAATCGCCGGCTCGCTATGCGCGGGCCGAAGGAGTGACGTGGGCTGGTGCAGCGGTGCCCCCTGAGGCGCCGCATCAGCGTATGTAGGTACATAGAATGGTGCAACTCTTCGCCGTGCTTTCTTAAATGAAATGTTCTCCTTCACCTTCAATGTTATTGCCTTTTTTTCTTTTTTCCAGTATGTGCAGGAGCGTGAATATGCGGCATGGTTTCCTTCACAGTTTACACAGTGTTGCGGTTGTTTGCAGTTCTCAGATACATGGCCTAGGACTCCGCATTGTGCACAAGTCTGGTGACCACGACAGCTTTTAGAGCCATGGCCATACCTCTGGCATTGGAAGCAACGACGAGGGTTTGGCATGTACGGCTTGATAGATGTCTTCGTGTACCCTGTTTGAATAGATTTTGGTAGTTTACTGGATGCAAATGTGAGTATTGAGTGTTTGGACGGTGTTTATTATCTCTTCTGGTGATAATTCTCTGTACATTAGTGACATTTTG